TGGCATTCAAAGTGATTTCCAGGAATCTGGTACACCCATTTAATTTTCGTTGTGGGAAAAATCAATAAATCGACCTTGGAGCCACGCAGCAGCAGCATTTGCCAGTGAGTGCTCCATAATGTGGGTAGTGGGTGAAACGGGGGAGCGGGCCAGGGAAACCACTCTATCGCCCAGCACATAAACAATGATTGACGATAAATCCTGCATGAGCAGTTAACCAAGGCAACCGGCCGACGGAACGACAAACCGACAAATCGACCAACCGACCAACCGACGAACCACCCACCAACTCACACATAAACCTTGAACTCTGTTGGCAAAAAGCGTTTGGAAATGTCTGGGATTGTGGGCCAGCAGCGAATTGCTGCAGGAGCAATCAGAAACACGTTTACCAATTGCAACACTTTTTGGCCGTTCGGGGTCGATTGGGGAATTTCCAGCAAATGCGATTCGCAGAACCAAAATCCCCCACGCCCCCCACGCGGACATAACCCATCACCCTCCGTTGGACTGCCACTGACCTGACCCAGTTTGCTAGACGTTTTTTGGGCGTGTATCCTTAGCTCGAGAGTTCAGTTCATGGCTGCACTTATGTGTGTGCATGTGTGCATCCTGCGAGAGACACGGAGAGATACCACGGGCACTACGAGAGAGCTGGGAGAATCAGTCGAGAGCACAGCCGAAAGGATGTTGATTGGGGAGAGGAGAACCCAACTGCAACGCGACACCTGACCAGCGCTGACCTATATAAAGCTGTTCTATAATCCCTGCATTCGCCCGCTTGAAGCTTATAGTATTAACCCATTTTACGTGGCATACAAAGAATGCAAAGTGGTTTCGTTAAGCAAACATGATTAGGTGCAGCTAATGCACAAGGGATCCTTTTTGAAAGATCCTTCCCTATTAAAGTAAACTAAAGGAGGTAAAAGATGAACATCTTGAAGGTCTGCGGCAATACTTACTCGTCTATTGCCGAAGCTGTTCTGTCGACCCAAGTTGGAGGATCCAGCCGCCGACTGGCACTCCTCGCCGCAGTTGTTGTTGAGGTTGTTGATGCTGCTGCTGCTGCAGCTGGTTGAGATTGTGGCAACGGAAGTGGAGGATGTTGCCGCTGCGGATGTTGCTGCTGTGACTGTTGATCCTGTTGCTCCGGCAGTGGCTGCGCCTGTGGCTACTGGTCCTGATACTCCTGCTCCCGATCCCGATCCCAGTCCCAGTCCAGAACCCACTACGGATGAGTTGGCGCTTGAGGCAACGGCGGCGTTGGCACTGGCAACAACAACAACGGCGGCCGCAGCGGCCGCTGTTGAGGCAGAAGCGGCGGAGGATAAATTGGTTGGAATATTCGTAGCTAGGGCTACTTGAGATTTTGTGGAACTCATAATCACAGTTTATGTCAAGTGTACTGAAACGGAAAAGAAGCCGGAAAACCAAGTTAGTAATGCAATCAAAAAATGAGCAAATAATTATTTGATTTACTGATTTTAAAGGAAATAAATAGAAATCCATGGGGAAAATATTCTTAAAAATTTGGAAATACCAATGTGATTACCTCAATATGTGAGTTAAACTATTGCATTTTGTTTACAGGGTTTTATGTAGCTCCAAAAATTTGTTAACAAATTTTCATTATTGGTTAGTTTTGTCTTTTACTTCTTTTTTTTTTTTGTTGTTGTCTGCGGCTCATAAGAATTTTTCCTTAGTTTTTCCTTTAGTTTATATTTGTACGAATATTTTGGTTTTTATTCTTTCAGAAAAAAAATCAAGTTTGTCGAAAATTTACGGCAGTGCAGTTGAGAGAATATTTTTGTTATAAAAAAGGTTGAACCAAAAATCTCTGACGCTGATGTTGTTTTCACTCGATTTGCTTTGGTTTTGTGCGACTTAGAATAGTTTACTTTTAGTTTAGTTTGTTTATAAGATGCAAGGCTTAGTATTCGTAGATAAATAGTTATTGTATTGGATTTTCGTGGCAAAAAACTTTGCGAAGGGAGGAAAAATAAAACACTATTTTAATGTATTTTGTTTGTTATTGTGGTAATTGAGTTTTAAAACGATTTGGTTGTTTGTTTGTAGTTGTTTTCTTTAGAACGTTGTTTATCACATTTACACCATATCACCGAAAATCAGAAGCTGCCCTTACTTTTTGGTCTGTACAGTACACTTGCTCGATTTTCCCAGTTATTTTGTTTAAAATTTAATTCATGTACGCACTAAACACTTAGGTTGCTATTTCTATAATTAATTTATATATGTATGTATATTGTATAGTTAAAAATATTTTAGTTAAAGCTTTCTTTCTTTCTGGTTGTTTTGTGATTTTTTCTCTCGCTGACTTTTCCTCTTCCTCCGTTTTGTTATTTGTTTGTTTATGTTTATTGAGATAATTCCATCTGGTTGTCTATATAGTTCAGATTCTTTGAGGATTTCTCTGGCATCCTGTTGTTTCCTGTGGCACACATTTTACCATCTGCAAAGTTGGAGGAAGTTTAATCGAAGGCTTTTCCCCAAAAGAGAAAAATGCGCAGGCGAGAGAGAAAGAGCGAGAAACCGAGAGAATGAATCCCTTTAGCAAAACTGTGTATCCGTGTATCACACACTCGTAGACAATATGACCTTGTTTACGATTTATTTTGATATTCAAACTGCACGAACCGAAAGCCGAGAAAATTTCATGATGCGAATATTGCCCTCGGCAAGATTAGAAGGGTGGATATTCGCCTGCTCTCTGTATCATCAGGGCTCCTCAGCTCCTGGCGAATATCCTTATAAGGACACCACTCACACACGCACACACACACACACACACAGCCGTAACAACCGACTGGTTCCCTTTCGGCGTAATTATCTTGAATTTTTGATTGTCACAATTTATGAAGTAGGTAGCTAATTTCGTTCACTTTTTGTGCCTTCTAGAAGGGTTGAGCTGAACTCCCAAAAATTGTTTCAAATTTGATGTTTATCTGTCCGAGTTGAATGGACTTTGCATAAATAACTGTGGCAAGTCGGTGTTTGCATCGGCAAGTAAAGGAATCTTGGGTAAGGGGGCTATTCTTTTCGTTTATATAATTACAATTTTCTGTGTGAAGTTAAGGGCAACGGAAAGTTCCCAAACGTTTTTATAGTAGCTGATGGAATACAGTATCTGTTTGAAAAAGTGCCAAAGAAAGTCCCGGAACTTGGAATCGCGGGGAGTCTTCAAAAATCCTAGTAAGATCTATTCAATTGTGAATAATACACTCCAAATCCCATTTCATGAAATAACTTTTACAAACAAATAGCTAAAATTTACTTAAGTCTTTAATAAATGATGAAATTGTAAAACGACTTTGCTTCATTTTTCCCAAAGCGTTTAACCTTTACATATTATGACAATTACAATTTTGCTTTCGCTTGTTTTCTACCAATACTGATATAAAATGCAAATACAAGCGAAGCAGAAGGTTTCGAGGAGGCCCTCCCCCATTTTGGGCCAAAAACACCTGGCCAAATGCGAAATGCCACGACAGACGCAGTGAATCTTTTATTCTGGGAAATACCCGCGAAAAATGCGAAAGGCGAGTGGAAGCGAGAGCCGAGGAAAGAGATTTGGAGAATCGCACAAGAGAAAAGCGAAAAAAGTGGGCAGGTGACAGATGACGTAGCCGCCTTAAAAAGAAACACGCATACGACGTGTGGCACACGACCAAAACGAAGGTGACGACGTCGTCTTCGTTTTCCACCGCTTTTCCTTACCCATTCTAACGGCTTTTGGTGGAAACGAGGCGAAGGCAAAGCCAACGACAAAGTTCGCCAACCAAATTTGGGACAAGAGTCGGAAAATTGCATTCGGCCGAGGAATCTGAATCAAAATCAGAATCCCGAGAAGGGGGTTGTGGAATTATGGGTTGCATGTGGCATGGTATTACGACTTGGCCTTCCTGCTGTTTAGCTGTTTATAGCTGCTCACTCACTCACTCACTCACTTACTCACTCACTACATACACCCTCTCTTTCTTCGCCTATCGGTCTCTCCTTTGGACCGCCAGCCGCTCAAAGCGACAAACAAAAGCTTCCTCGTAGTGACGAGTACTAGGAAATGTGTTGCGGTCGTCTAGTCTGCGGAGCACAAGCTCCAAAGCGCCTGCGTGGGAGAATCCAAGAGAAGAGCCTTACAAATAGTACACTGAGGAAAATATTCAGAGGTGTTTCTCATTTAACTGGTTCAGTTACTAAACAGCGTAGATTCTAACGAAATGGTCGTGGTATTGTGACTCATATTTCTAGCCTTCTGAAAACAATTACTCAAATTAAATTATAAGTAAATTATAACTACAGATTTCTGCGAGTGTATCCCCAGAGAGAGCACGGCGTGCCTGCACTTTAGAAGCTCGAGCAGGAAGTTGGCTGCAATGCACTCGCAAAGGCGGCGGAAGGGAAATGGAAAATGAGCCAGCAAAAAACCCCAACAGAGAGAGGAAGCAGAAGAGGGGGGCGAAATGGGGCGTGCATTTCCACCTAGAGCCAAATAACGATTATAATTTGTTGACAAGTCGATGATATGTTCCAATCATGCAGTTTTCCACCTCTCGCACGGAAAACTCTTGCTAATTTGCACGTTGAAACGTCACCGAATGTGGAAAATAAAGAAAATAAAAAAATTTAAAGCTGAAAAAGAAAAATACGACATGAAAAACGAACCCGAGGAAAAGAGCCGAACTCTCGTATGTGTGTGTGTGTGGGAAAAACGTGTGCGACTGTGTATGTATAATACACCAAAAAGGCCACCGAAAAAAAATGTCTTTAAAGCAAATGAAAATTCCTCGCGACTCGAAAACATTTTTCACGTTTTCGCACACATTTCTTTGCACTTTTCTTTTTGTACATATATTTTTAAACACTCTGCCCGGCAAAGGGGCTTTCTTTTGTAGCTTTACATATGTATATCCATTTACCACTCGGTGTCTGCAATTTCACTCGCACAACTCGGTGGACTCTAAAACCGATATATTTATTTTTTCAACGCGCGTGCCATTTGTATTTTCCTTCTTTTTGTATTTTCCACCAGCGACTTTTGTATTGGGAAGCGAAAACCGAAGAACAGAGCCCCACCAACCGCAAAACCCCATCGACCATTGTTCTCTCTCTCTCTATCTCACTCTCTCGGCTTTTCTGCCCCTCTCCCTCTCACTCGCTCTTTTTGTTATTTTTGTATTTCTTCTTGAAAAACTAATTTTCTCGGGCACTAATTTTTTTTCTTGCCTCCGCTCGCTTGCTTCATTGTGAAAAATGTATTTTTAAGCTGCTGCTGCTCCGCTTCTCCTATAGATGTTGCTGCTGCGAATGTGGCTGCTAGTTGCTAGTTGCTGCTGCTGCTTGATGTTGCTGCTGCTGCTTTTGCTGCTGCGTTTGCTGGTACGGATGACAATGACAACTTTGGCAACGGCTGCGACAGAAGCGACGACCGCTGGCGGACATTATGGGAACACGGCCGAATGGATACTGGGCCAATTCGCTGGCGGAAGGTCTCTTTTTCCTCTGGCTTTCTCTCTCAAGAATCTCTCGGCTAAAAATCTCCTTCGTGCTGGTGCTTTTCCCCCAGAAGGGTGGTAAAAAAAAAAAATAATAAAATAACGCGAGTCTTTCGCTCTCTTTTGCTCTCACTCGCAGAGCAGGAGAGCGCTGCGAGTGCGTAAAAGCTTCGCGGAAAACAGGTTAAAGCGTATGGGTCTCCCCCTCTCTTTCCCACACCCTAGCCCCCTCTCTGTCTCTAGATATCCTCCCTACCATATAGTTCGCCCGATGTCCCATGGCCCGGAGGCAAAATGCTTATTGGGGTGGCATTTGCTCGAGTCTCTCCACTCTGCAATCACTCGACAAAAATTATGCTTTCAATGGATTATGCACAAAAGTACTGGGGGATACCTCACCAACCCCGTAATGTTGATAGAAATACTTATATTGCGACCATCACATATTAAACCATTAACATTTCATTATTTGGAGAAAACATGGACTAATTGCCGCACAATTTTTACAGCCTACATTTGGGAGTAGTTCCTAACACCTAAATATAATTAATAGCTTTTACGCTTAATGTTTTTCAATCGTTATAGAATCAATATCATTTATAACTGATTTTTACTAATTTCATATTTTTCGCGGAATTATTTTTGTCAGTGTGCTCATCTACTCCTTCTAGTTGCTGCTGCTCCTGGTGGCTATTGTTGTTGCTTTTATTGTCCCTCGTGGTGCGTTTGTGTGCGTGCTGCGTAGCGAGTGCAGTTGTTGTAGTTCTTCTGGTTACTGGGCATCTCATCCTTTGTGTTTTCCTGCGTTTTTTGCCTATATATCCCTATATCCCTGCTTGGTTCTGTGGCTTCACTTCCTAGCAGGCCACAAAAGGACCTTGGACATGTGAGCATAAGTGCGTGAGAGGGAAAGGGAGAGAGTCCTGGCGAGGAAGAGCGGGAGCGAGCCAAACAGGAATGTTATGGCACTAAAGAGTAAAACAAAAACTTCGTAAAAGTCGATGAAAAACATGCTGTACCTGGAAATCCAATTCAATTTTAATTGAACGTATGTAAATACTAAAAGAGATTTTCCATCAAATCAATCTAAGTCTCGGTTCCAAACACTTTTAATCAAATTGCTTGTGTGAAAGCCAGCAGATAAGCGAATGGAAATTGTTTTAATGCAGACAGAGAATATTCGACTGTTCTATATCCTTTCAAAGTTAGAAACCAAAACCGAAATGGATGATAAATTTCGTTAGACATAATTTTCTAGCTTAATTTTCTGGTACATCTCCAGCCAAGTATACAACTTTCAAGCCACTTAAAACTTCTCCCATAAATCATCGTATACTCTATATGCCAACAAAAAAACTTTTTCCAATTCAATTACCATCGCAAATCACTGGCAAATTGACCAAAAAAGTGTCCATCAATTGAAGTTTTTCCGTCTCTTTTTACTGCCCTTTTGCCATCTCTCTTTCGCCTGCATATCTGTCAATTTATAGCCTGAAATTGCATTTGATTCCTGACGGGATATGCCAGTTATTTTATTTGCCTCTGAGTCTCATCGTTTGAGTGGGCAATAAAAAAGCTTTTAGGACCTCGTTGCTTGAGGGGCGAGTAGAAAGAAATGAGGGGACAAGGTAACAAGTATTTCTTAACTACATATTTTTGCGGGGTGTATGCTAAAGTTAAATATTATTTCCAGTTTATCGAAATCCTTGTTTGTGCAGTCTGGCCAGCATCCCGCAATTTTGTGTTGAAAGTCAGGTGAAGCGTGTCCTAGATTCCTCTACAAACACATTCAACCCATACAATCACACACTAAAGCGCAAGTAGAGATTCCACCCTGAAGTATGCAACATAATTTTAGTGCAAACAACGCAATAAGCTTGACTTTTTCCCCAGCGGGACCTTGAATTTAACCAAAGTTGCCCCATCAATTTATCTCTTTTGTGCTGCTCGTCATTACGTGCTACCATCTCGCTCTGGCAAATTGCAAAATAATTTGCATCGATTAGCCAAATGAGTTCCGGACATTTCATCTCATTTTTTGCTATCAAAGCACTTTTTTGTAGCTTTTCTTTGCATCTGGGATGTCAAAATGCGTTTTCCCAAATGAGTCGTAATAAATAATTGATGTAAAATGCTGGGAATACCAGGAATCGAACGGGGAACGATGGCCAGGGAACAGAGAAAGAAAGAGAGGGAGGGAGGAAAAGGACGAGACTGTTGCTTCCTTGTCGCTCTCGTCCCTTCGGTTAATGTAATTGCATATTCGTGAATGTCGCGCCTTTCGCCTGCAATTACGACATCTTATTTGGGTCAACACGGAGAGATTGCTCTCCAGTGAAAGAGAGAGAGAGAGGGGGCTAGCCGGAGCGAAAGAGTGGGCCGTATGCGAATAGAAAAAGAGAGGTTTATATCCCGCAGAAAGAGAGGGGCCGAGCTTAAGCTCCGTCGCACGTGTGAGCTTAAAAGCGCATCGCATTTCGAGGCCAAGTGCCGAGTACGAGGATGCGAGGATGAGAGTATGCGGAGGACTCGAGGATACTACCAGCATCCGTCAGTCACTTCCGCAGCCAACTGCAGTATCCAAAAGGGGGGTTGGAGGGTCATCGTGGGGGTGTCCAGTGGGTGTGGCCTGCGTTGGCCCAGTTTAGTTGGCCCACAGGGCAGAGATATGCAGATGCAACTGCACCGATTTCCTGCTGGAAATTCAATTTAAATTTTGTAACACCTGCATTCCCCCCGGTGAATAAAGATTACCACAATTATCGCAGTTAGTAACAGGAAATTAAGGTATTGGTAGGGGTATAAAAGGGCACTGTTTGCAACAGGAATATATACAAACTGATATATTCACCGCCTGCTCCTTGAGTATTTAGGTAATAGCTTCACTGCCCTTTTAACCCTTTCAAAAGCAACCAAGAGATTCTTTAATAATAGCCCTTAGATTACTCTGCAGTTAGTCAGAGGTTTTTCGCACTACACAAATTGTAGGTTGAGTAGAAGAATGGCCACTAAGGCCTTTTCTTACGATCCTTCTGGGGAATATTAAGCAAGCAAATCTAATCTAATTAGCCGGCAAATGCCAAAGCAGAGTCAACTCTTGCCCGGGTGAATCCATCCACTTTGGATCCCCTTAACCCACCGGTGACCCCCTGTCACTTGCTTAACACCTCGACGTCTGTATGCCTCCGCCTCGTTTTACGGCGCAATTAAAATGCTAAATGCTTTACGACATCGCCCAGAGGGGGTCCTTTAATTAATTTGCCTGTGACAATGACTGGGCCATGCCATGTCTCGTGTCCTGAAGGCCATGAAAGGTGTTAACAACAAACGCCTGGCTAAGAAAGCAGGTGGAGGTGTAGGGCGGACAAGGCTACCATTACCACCTCCATTCACTTGACCCAGACTAGACAGATGGAAGAGGCGGCCCAAAGAAGTCTTCTTTCAAGCGTGCCACCAGCCAACAAGGCTCTTACTAAAACCCTGATTATGACAGATCTTATCCGGTAATATGACAAACATTTCCATTTCTTCAATGAGAACACATTTTAATCTGCTCAAGTTTTTTGTTGATAATGTAGACATTTGTTAACAGCTAACACATCTAAGTTTCTACTATCATTTAGTAAAAAATCTCAAAATCTTTAAACTTTTGCCAGCTATTGTTTCTGCTTTCGTTTTAGCTGACACACGGCTAAAACTTTTTGGGCCACGTTTAGCAACCTATGAGTTTTGCGGCACAGAGCTAAAAAAAGCCGAGCTAAGCACAGCTAGCGAAACGAGAAGCCTGATGTCCTGCAAACTGCGAAATGGTGCTCATAGCTTGAGAGAAAATATTAATATGTGTAGGTAGACTGCCAGTCTCCTCAATCATTCATCTGGCATATGAGACATGCCCGTAGCATACGAAAAAGGGCACCTGGGAGCCGACATTCGGAGCCATTTGATTGTTGTCTTCGGGTTTCCCCGGGTTCAGTCCATGTAACCCCAGCCGTAGCCACCTGCGGGAATTATGAAATATGCAAAAAGCATCTGCACGGGCCTATAGCCACCGCCCAGCCACCTCCTTCGCTTTCGCGGGAATAGAATTCACTTGGCATCGCAACTTTGTCTGCGGCATCTACAGAGGACATCGGTGGGGCAGGTGTGCGGAAATAATGGGGCTCTATGAGCCACATCAAAATCAAAAACGAAACTGGCGCAACCGATGTGATGTGTCTGCTCTTATCGCAGGCGATTATTCATAAGCAGCAGACTAAATAAAATACAGCGCATCTTCGTTGACAAATAACCACGAAAATATTAATTATTCTAAGTGCATATAAATTAAAAAAAATTCACCTTGAAAACATAAAAAACGCTTGTAAATGTGTTGAAAAGTATGCAGCAATATATTTCAGGTTAAAAAAACTGATAATTTATTGCAAATTTTTAGGCATCCGACTAGTTTTAAGGAAAGGTACAAATTTTTTTAAAACAGCTGATTACAAATATTTAACCATAATGTATAAGTTGCATACATTTGCCTGACTAAATAAACAGCCAACTAACAGGAGTTCGCCTGCCGAAAAATCTAAATGCGAAATCAAAAGATGTTCGCCCGTCAGAATGCGTTTGAAAATGTAAATAAAATGCCATCCGATAGCAAGTGGCATGAGCGAAGGCAATAAATTAATTTACACAAATTCTCGACATTCTCGCATGAAAAATGCTTCGGTTTCGCGAGTTTTTGCAGTAAGATTTGTGTTCAATTTTTTTTGTTTGTGTAATGAGTGCAAAACGGACGGCCGAAGCGAATCCGAGCGCATCACAATCGACTAACTAAGTAACAGCAGCCACTAAGACAACAACTACAACATTGTGGGACAACGACGACATTTCGTTTAGAGCATCAGCCAAGATACATCATCCTCATCACGGCATCATTGGCCAAAAGCATCATCATCGGTGGATTCATTGGATGCGAGTATCCGAATAAAACAATAAACAGACAAAAACAAAACAGCGACGTTTTTAGTATAAATTTATATCAATGCGTATAAATATACAGTGGGTACTTGCATTGAAAGACCACTAAATGCAGATAAGCGTGAACTTCATTATTTCTCTTTTAAAGATCGAAAACGAATAACACATTTTGCCTTTTTGGAATAAAGTATCAAAGGACTGAAATTCCAAATACAAAGTTAAACAATTAAACTTACACAGACACTGTATAATTTTTTGATAGACCTCCTTGTTTAATTACTGACTCCCAAGTTTGGTTATAAACTACAATCACTAACAAGATTTAATCTTGACTTCTACTCAATTAAATATGTGTAGATTTACCAAAAATAAAAACTATTTTCCCGGGTTTCGGTGTTTGGGTGAGCGAACAAACAAAAAACTGACGACATTATTGCGACGCCAGCGATGTAAGAGAATTGGAGACAAATGTGAGAAAGGCCCAGAGAAGGGGCGGGTTGGGATATAGCCGGGCTGGTCGGATGATTCGCAAAATAGATTTTCAATAAAACCCACTCGAAAACGCCGACAATGGCGGACGCAGGCCAAAGAGCCATTTCGAATCTATTTTAAACACAAACAAAAGCATTCTCTATAAATCGAGCAAATGCGAAGAGGAAGAAAACTTACAAAAATGTTGGCAAGAATGCGATATGTCACCAGAAGTTGAGGGTTCCTAGCGAACTGGAACGCACCTTTTTGGGTTTTTTAATCGATCTTCAACAGCAGCAGTTTTCAAAAACATTCATCCTCAACCATATAGCATATTAAAATGTGAATCAAATATAGATAGCTCAGCTTAAAGGACTAGCATACCAAAATATATAAAATTAATAGTATAACTCCTGCGTGAAACTGTAATCAATATGTAATCATAAACTGAATAAATATGTCGTGCTGTTTCCGAAATAGTTTTTTCACTTTTACATTAACACTAATATTTAGTATCAATACTCAAACTACTCGCACCTGAAGAGTTTGATGGTAAAATATATTATATATAATATTACAAATACGGAAGGATTGACATAAGATGAAATCAAAGAATACTAGAATAAAATATTGTAATATTTAAATCTTCAGCCACTAAAGGACCTACTAATTAAAAAACAATGCCATCATTTATTATTTTCTTATGTATGTAGCATGTGTACTGTGAGCATGAAGGCCATGAAATCCTGGTATTAGCCATGCATAAACTTTCTTCGTACACCCAACAAAGTTCCTCGGCGAACAAAAATCCCAACTAACAACTCCAATTAGACATACAGCCCGGAATCAGATAACGGGGCCTTCCCGGCAGCATTACTAAAGGCATACTACTTACATACATGCATACAAAGGTGATAAATATGTATGTACATGTGTGTGTACGCAGTGCACTTAAAAATGCAACCGCAACCGGCGGCTGCAAAAACCGAAAATGTTGCAATCGTTATAATAAGCGCACTAATAATTTCAAATCCACATCGTTTTCAACACGGAATGCGAAAAAAGGTATAGTTCTAACGAATTTTCGGGACATTTTCTTAGAAACTCACCATTTTCAGTTCTGCTGCCCATGGCGAGTCGTTGTTGTTGCTTTTCCTTTGGTTGCTCTTCCTTTTGATTATTTGCGATTTTCCGACTTTTTTATGGTGATGAACTATCTGCGGAACCAGCACTGCAGTTTCTGACGTTTTTCGCGGTGTTTTCCAAGTTTGTTTAGGCCTTTGTGGCACGCATTTTCACTCGCGGCCTAAAACATATATATGTTTATTAGAGGTGACACAAAAAGCGATAGCTGTTCAATATTGATGTTGCCAGATATTTCAAGTTGATCGAAACTTCATCTCTATCGACTATCGTCCGCTCTTGCTTTATGCAATATGGTCCTACTAAATATCAAAAGAATAAGTGTTCTAAAAAAGAAAAACAGGATTAACGGTCAAAAAACATGTTAATAACTTATGTACAAGCATTGCTAAACTCGTTTTTGATTTATTGATTCAAAGTGTTCTGACTTACCAGAAAAAAACTTAGGCCATTTTCTCAAACTCAATTTGCTTGATTATCTTTTACACACCAATTATTTAGCTTAGGACAAAATTTATAAAATACCCTCGCAAAATAAAAATTTTTAAAGACCTAACTAAAGACCTCAAGAATTGCGCACGTTTATCCTGTTTATATGCATATTTATTACACATTCAGATACAATTCACATTGATATTTCGAGCCGGTATTTAAAATTAAGGCAAAAGTCTGTTCGCAACACAAACAATGAGTCAGCCGAGTGCAATAACAATTACAAATCTTCATTTTGGTGCGAGTTATTTTAGTTCAACTTGGTGGTACGGCAGTAGTAACTTAATTCTTGGAATACATGTCTCAATTCAACGCCTTTCGATTCTCTCTAGTAATTTTTCACAATAATTTATTTGGGTTCGCTCGAATTCAATTTCGATTTTCGACACTTTTAGCTTAACTTTAGGTTCATCATCATGAGTTTGCGTATACGCTTTGATCGGCGTACGGATTCCGGTTTGGTTATGGCCATTAATTATTTACACTAACTCCAGACGCTTCATCTCCTTGAAGAGCTCGTGGCCCATTTTGGCAGGACTCCTGGTCACAATGACGCCGGCCTTCTCCAGGGCGGCGATCTTGTCATTGGCGCCTCCCTTTCCTCCGGAAATGATGGCTCCAGCGTGACCCATACGACGGCCGGGTGGCGCCGACACTCCGGCAATAAACGAGACCACAGGCTTGGCCTTGATTCCCTGTAATAGGATATAAACACATGTAGTAATAGAAACGATTGTTTCGGCATGGCATTTCCTACCGAATTGTACTCGGTCAGGTAGTCGGCCGCCTTCTCCTCGGCCACGCCTCCGATCTCGCCGATCAGAATGATGCCCTTGGTCTCGGGATCCTTGAGGAAGACCTCCAGGCAGTCGATAAAGTCGGTTCCGTTGAACGGATCGCCTCCAATTCCGACGCAGAGGGTCTGGCCCAGACCAACCTCCGTGGTCTGGTGCACGGCCTCGTAGGTCAGGGTTCCCGAGCGGGAGACCACGCCGATCTTGCCGCGCTTGTGAATGTGACCCGGCATGATGCCGATCTTGCACTGCAATCAGAAAAGCATAGTAAACGATTATACAGTTGGCTTAACTATGTATGAATACAATTTATAAGAACACTCTTCTCAAAATGGTTCCATCGAACTGATAGTTAACATTTCTGTTGTTATTGACCCACAAATTTATGAAGAGAAAATGTTCATAAGATTACCACAAGGCACTTTAAATGAAGTGGGTATTGACTAAGAAGTGGATTTGGTCTACATATGTTGCCTTCTTGAAGATTGTGACGCATACGAAGATAAGCGTCATAAATGGTAATTAGCAACGTAGTTTTACTAGCTTTTAGGGCCGCAAGTTCCATAAACTTAAGGTCCAAAGTTCAATGTATAAATTTAGAGGTGTGTCAATAGAGTTTGCACATTAATAATAAGCGAATTGAGAACTGAATATTAAAGAGATGTACATATTTCAGCGGACGTCATACCAGGAGATAAGGAAAACACCAGATTTGCGTGGACTTTGCCCTCTGGCGAAGCTTATCTCCACCGAAGCTCTGGAGATGTACGAACCTGTTCGGGGGCGATGATTCCCGGGCAGTTGGGTCCCACCAATCGCGACTTGCTCTGGCTGATGAGGGCGTGCTTCACCTTCACCATGTCGTGCTGCGGCACACCCTCCGTGATGCAGACGATCAAGGGTATCTCCGCGTCCAGGGCCTCGATGATGGCGGCCGCAGCGCCCGGTGGTGGCACATAGATGACGGTGGCATGTGGATCGGTGGCCTTCTTGGCCTCCGCCACCGAGGCAAAGACGGGCAGTCCCAGATGCTGGGTGCCACCCTTCTTGGGGGAAATGCCGCCGACCAACTTGGTGCCGTACTCCAGAGCCTGTTGGCTGTGGAACGTACCCTGTTTGCCGGTGAATCCCTGGCAGATCACTCGCGAATCGCCATTCAGCTTCAGGTTGCCGCGGGTCTTGTTGTACTGCGAATTGCTGCGCACTCCGGCCACAAGGCCATCTGAAAAATGCAGAATGCAAACATTAATCATTTTATGACATTGCAATCGCTGTAGTAATTTATGACCCAATAGTGGAACCCTGCCAAATAGTTACTATAAGGATGTGGAGACAGGTGGGTAATACCAAAGACACTAGAATAATTATTCTAATGTTTTTGGTAATACTATTGTAAAGCTTCCATATTTTTGGATTTTCTTCATAAGAAAGGCATATATAATTGATTTTCTACAGCGAAGGGAACATTTTCCGGTACTCATGCCGTTGCTTTATTTAAGTTTAATCGCTTTGCTAGATGCAACCTATCCTCGTTTTAGTAAGTTTTAGGGATTATTTTTTACGATCTATTCTTCTAGGAATCAGTCACATGATGAAGTGATACTGTGACCCCCTTGCACCCTTAAATTAGTTTTAAAATTCCATTTTTCATTTAATAAAATAACGTACCCCAGTAAATGTATTTCAACTTATTTAGTACATGTTCACACATATTCTATACACTTCATTTAGAAGTTAGTTAGAAGTTGTACTTTTCAGTAACTCTTCTTAGAAGCTTTTAAAGCATTAAAGTATATCTAAAATAATTAGTCTTCGTGCGAGTTGCGAAGCGTTTACACCATTATGAGGGTTTTGGGATTCATATTTTTTCTGAGTGAGTTCTTAAGCAAGTTCATAAAAATAAGTTCTGATTTATTCCCCAACTGCAGTTATGAATATATTCGAGACTACTAGTGGAAAAAGTGTCTGCGAAGGATATATAAAACCTGGAAATGCTTTCTGCGCGATTGCTCCTAATTGTTACTACCAAGGCTTAAGTCTCTTGCACGTTGGACAAGAGCAGTGTAAACTTGCTGAACAAGGAAAACCTCGTAGGTTTATTCCACTTAACATATTCAGTTTGCTTAACATTATTCACATACATACATATCCAGCATTTCAGAAAATCATGGCCGGAAAGTGTCCCAGGGACAAGCCCAAATGCAAGGTAGCTAGATAAAGGAAAAACTGCAAGCAATTTCCCTTCACTTCCAATAAGTCTTTCTTTTTGATTGACAACTTTGGGTTGAAAACAGAGTTTTATGGAACTCTTCATGTTACTCTTAAAAACATACATACATAATTGTATTTACCGAACATAAAGATATGATTCTTATTTATGTATTTTAACTTTTGGCCTTTACATTTGTTGAGAGATGTCACGCCCGCAATGTTAACAGGAAATTTTTCGGTAATTACTAGCTAAACTTTCAAGATCTAATCGGAACACAAACACATTGTATTAACACTTTAGAAGATTGCAAAAGTTCTTAAACAAAGGATCATCCAGGCTTTCGGAACTCTTATAAGAAGTCCATGGCAATATAATATTTATATTCACAAATAAATAGGAGTTTGTTTGAAGTCCCGCGGAAAATGCTCCAAACAAAATAAATTTTAATTAAATAATCTAACTTGTAGAGTGAGTGCACAATTTGTATGAATGTTCGGAGCAATCTCTTAAGCTGTCAAATGTACAATATAAGTAATTGGTCTTCTGCGGGAGGAGCCACTGTACTATTAACACAGAATAATATAGATGCGATCGCCAGAGCGGTGTTCCACTGTACTTGTTGCCGAAAAACGGTTGTTTGTACGATGGGTCACATGCAAGCGAACCTTGAACACAACCCCCGCACACCCCCTCCGCAACAGAGGGGCATCTCATTCTCTTTTTCGAAGCCACGTATCTGCAGATTTGCAAATTGAGCCGATTATTAATCACAATGGAGGCCGACTAATCAGCAGATCCGTCGGACCGACAGGTGCCCCCTAATTGTTCGCCTATTGGCTCTTTTTGTGCCGTAAATCCGTTGAAGTTATATAATTTATTATGCTATTAGGCCATAGGGTTTGTTAGGCAACCGATATGGGGAATACGCACCTCGCACTTTCAGCAGCGCCCTCATTGAAGCAGCCATATTATCTCTGTGTGGTGGTTGTGCGATAAAAACAGCTTTACTTAATTAAAACGCGTTTAATTAATGCAGTGCGAATTCGGCCGAATAGTGCTGGGTTAACCACTGCGATAGTATCGATAGCGCGAGTGCAACGGCTTACGACACACCATCGATATTTTAGTTGCGATAGTATGGGAAAACTACAATCGGGCTTCTCCTCCAATCGATTAAAATGTTGAACTGTTACATTTCAAACAGCTGTTCAATGAAAATTTAATAAACAATTAATTATTTACTCAATTGAATCTCATGATATACGACGAGGTATATTATAAATATATTGAAATATACGAGAAATCCAATATAATTCTGTATCTACTCCACTGAACCTTTATTTCGAGAACTTAAAGAAAGGACAGCTCAAGCGTTGTATGGACTACGTAAAATATATTGCCTCTTGTTAGACTGGTTGCGTCTAAATACTCAGATGGCTTACACATTATCAACTAGCACGAAGTACACAAAATGCGCCTACGAATATCTACTGATTACTTCCGATGTTCTGCTCTCCTCGGACAACAACGTTTTTAAAACTTTAGCTAAGGCCAAAAATGGATACAAAATATACGTTTGTATATACGTTTGTCTGCATTAGTTAATATCAAATGTGTCAGTGCTTCTTGCTTTTGAACGGAGGGCTGTGATGGTGGGTACTTCTCTTTTGCTCTATCATCTAATTGAACAGATTCTCGTTCTCCTTGGCGAGGACGAGATCCTCCAGCGGCGGATGATCGTGAACATCCGGTTCCTGCTGCTCTTGATCCGGTCCACGATTAAATGCGTTCTCTTCGCCCTTTTTCAAGCGCTGGTAAACCAGAATGGAACGACCTGTGCGCGATTGGCGATGCTGCAATAGAGAACCAAGATTAGGTGACTGGGTCCCCAGTACCTTCGACCACTGGTCCACCAGAGCCTGCGAGCCCTCCAGCCGGGTTACCTCTGCGTGCTCGATGCGATGGAGCAGCCGGTAGTTGCGGAGGAACACGCTGATATTCTCGGCCAGCGGATCGAACAGAACCACATGCGTGGGCAAAGCGGTAAGCGGATGCATGGGAATGTGCGAGTTAATCCAGTGCACGGGGTCCTCAAAGAAGCGGTCGGCCTCGTCCTTATACTGCTCCTTCTTCTCAAGGTTCGGTTCACAGGTCAAGAACCTCATGGTGACATTCTGGTGGATGTGACTAACGAAAAATAATCATGAAACCATTCAAGGAATGAAAAGACCAAATCTTCTTACCTGTAATATGGTGTGGAGTGGCAAGGCATAAGGAAGAGAATATTAGCCTGGTGCTCGCGTTCATCTCTGTATTCCTGAGCAATCTCTCTCAACTTGGGCATCAGCTCAATGGGCCCCTTCTGATGTACTGTGCTCAAATACCAGGCGGGCAGAATATTACCCACGAGGATGACCAAAGCGGTGGTCCATAACATTGTGCTTGAGGCTCTGGTGCTCCAACGGGATAGGGCATCTGTGATGACGTACAAGCAGAGCGGCAGAAGCGAGGACACAAATCGGAACTCCTTGTGCTCCACGGCACTCAGAACCACCAGAGACAGAAAGATGGTGATCAGGAGTTGCTTGCTAACCGGAAACTTCTCCGACTTCTGCACAGTTTCCATCACACCAAAGATGAAGGGCAAGGTGTTGATGCCCAGAACTGTGGGCAATCCCACGCTGAAGTACCAGTGCCAAGGGTGTGAGCCGTAGAAGCTGCCGATGTTGTTGAATATGTTGTACTTGAGGAACTCGTACGGAGTTACTATCAATTGACCATGCCAGTAGGTATCGATGGCTATTCCAAGTCCAGCCACTACTAAGCTAAAATGTAAATGAGGTTATTGTAACGTCACTGATGTTTTTGATTAATTATCTTACCCGATGAGCACAAAACGCTTTAGGATCAGCTCCAGCACATTCTGGCTACTCTTGCGCAGATGATACAAGGATAATGGCAGCCAAATGACAGCTGCCGTGGGTCTCAGGAAGCAGCAGATGGCAGCTGGCCACAGGTAAGCAGTGGATTCGCCATACCAGGGGAAGTAGCTCAAGGCAATCGTTGTCAGGGAGGCCTCCAATGTATTGGCCAGAGTTCGCGAGCCCGTGTAGAACCAGAACCAGGGCACCAGAATCAAAAACAGCGCCCACTTTCGCTTGCCAGTCCACACATAGAAGCGATAATCGGAGTAGGCCGACAGCAGAGCCTGGAGAATCCTTGGCAGAACTACCAGAAGGTGGGCACTATCCAACTGGAGGAGGGCCAGGATTTTATAGAGCCCGGCGATCAGCAGGGGGTACACATAGCTGCGAATGCCCTGAACCCATTCCCAAGTCAGGTAGCCATAGCTAAAAATAGAGAAAATGTGAGTTAGGTAGGGAAAAAATTACCGATAAGGTTCACCAGATTTTCTTTAAAGGACTCAGATGGATTTTGATGAAAGAAATGTATATTTTCACTAGAGGACATTTATCAGACATTTTACTAAACAGTGATCAATCAAAATCAACATTGTTTTATGAAGACGAAAACCAGGAATCACACCGGAATTCCTGAATTTGAACGTACCCAAAAGTCAGTTTGTGGGCCACCTCCAAACTCTGCCAATATTCATCCGGAACGTAATAAGTTTGTACCACGAAAACGGAGGCCAAGCGCACGGCCAAAATCAGAAGAAAAACGTAGAGCAGCCTCATTATAAAAACGCTGCGTTGGTCCAAAAACACAAATTTGTAGTCACCAGGAAAACCGGATGATTTTGCGTCACATGGAGGAGAAAAGTATTAAATACACGATTTTAGACGTTTTTTCGTGCCGGTCCTAACCTTAAATAGTTGCGTGTGTTGGTGGCCGACCAACCGGTCGGATTTGGTGGAAATTGCGATGGGTTTTAGCCACCAAAAAGAATTTTTTCGGCAAATTAGGCGGCTAAAAATAACGCGAAAGCAGTGGGAAGCAAAACCGAAAAGAGCAGTGTGGCCAGAGCGTGTATTTTGCGAAATAAATTAAGTTATCGGCGTATATCGGTCAGTGTTGCAAACTGTTAAGGTATTGAACATTATTTTTTTAGCTTTCATACAATTTATAAATTTCATTGCATTGATCAATGTTTTCTTAAATGTGAACATTTTAATGTCATTAATAAATCACAAAATTGATCCACAAACCGGGTCCTTCAATGTCAGAACGATAGAAAATACAGGTTTTTAATCAAATCGTACACCTACAACCTAGAGCAAAGTAAGATCCGATGGGATCACAATGTTTAGCTGGACTCGGCTGGCCAATCCGCTGAAGATAAGCTGCCAGTTCGTAACCGTTTTCTCGACAAGCTCCCAAAGTCCTCCGAATGCGAAATTTTGGTCAAGGGCGTTCGGAAAGTACCTGTTGCTGACTAATACCGTGGGATCGGGGCTGCTCCTCACCATCGGTGATGCAGTTGCCCAGCAGTACGAGGGGCTTGGTGAAAAGGAATCCTTTGACTACTCTCGCTCGGGATGCATGATGATTACGGGCTTGGTGATTGGTCCGGTTCAGCACAGTTTCTATCTGCTGCTGGACAGGCGTCTACCGGGCACCAGTCGATGGGGTGTCCTGCATAAGATACTCGCGGATCAGTTGATCATGTCGCCCATCTATATTTTCCTGTTCTTTTACGTCAGCAGCTTGCTGGGTGGTAGAACTTTGGCGGAGTGCAATGGCGAGCTGGCCGAGAAGTTCCTGTACACCTGGATGTTGGACTGCTGCTTCTGGCCGGGTCTGCAGTATCTTAACTTTCGCTTCCTAAAATCCCTCTATCGCGTGATCTTTGTGAATGTGGCCAATTGCGCTTACGTCGTCCTGCTCTCCCATATAAAGTACGGCTCTTGATCCATAGTTATTACGCTTTTTTAATGGCCATTAAAATGGCAGCAATTGCTTTCCAAAATCGCATTCGATGCATTTCAAAAAGTGATAACAAATACTATCGATTTCAAGCTTGCATACACAGCAAATGGTCGGTCGAAAAAGTGCCATCCCCAATCAGCTGCTAGTTTAACGTCAAAACAATCGAGTCTTTCGTAACGTAAATCAAAAACACACGGGACTACAGTAGTCCCCAAATTGCAGTGGCTGCGAATGATGTTTGGCATTCGATGCCTGCGCCAGTGCTACGGTTTCCGAAACCCGGCAGTTCCTTGGGCGCAGAAACTCCATGGCTCCCTCCATGCCCGCAGAGACTTCGCGGCTCTGTGCCGGATGAGGACCCATGTAATGGTGCCACAAAAGTACGGACTTCGCTTAAGCCACGGCAAAGGGGAAACGAAGGGCGGGACCCTGAGTTTCATACTGCTGCGATGGACGAAAATCGCGTGGAGCAACATGTTCGGAAAGTATCTGCTCGTGACGAACGTGGTGGGCTCCGGACTGCTGATGGTCGTCGGCGATGTGATAGCCCAGGAGTACGAGTACAGGCGGGGATTGCGGCACCAGGATCGGTTTGATACGGATCGCATGTACAGGATGTTTGTGGCTGGTGCGCTGCAGGGACCTCTTCACCACTACGTGTATAACTGGATGGACAGGGTAATGCCCGCTCGTACGTTAAAGAATATCTTCAAGAAGATTCTGATTGACCAGCTGGTCATGTCGCCCGCCTGCATCATCATTTTCTTCTATTCCCTTTGCTATCTGGAGCGCCAAACGCTGGAGGCCACAAACCAGGAGCTGATCTCCAAGTTCCCGTATGTGTACATGCTCGATTGGATGACCTGGCCGGCGGCACAGTACCTGAACTTTCGCTATCTAGACACCAAATACCGGGTGACTTTCGTCAATGTGTGTACGGCTGTTTATAATGTGCTCATGTCCTACATGAAGCACGATTTCGGGGTTCACTTACCACTGGAGGGGAAGCTAGTCCAGTCTTCCGAGAAGAACTTATTACCTCCGAGTTCATAGACGAATCCCGAAGCACACAAAGCTGTGTAATACACGACGAACACCGCGGAATATGTGTGATATTGATAAGTATCCAAATTAAATAGTTATTGTGCACACGAGTGTTATGTAAGAAGCTCCGAATACAAATAAATATGTATATTTAGTACTACGACCGAAATATTTAAGCAAAGAATAAGCCAAACATTTTAGGAAATTGCTAGTCGATCAATTATATATGTTAATCCCAAATTATTTTAAAAAAACGTGAAGCTTAAGATTATGCTTATGACTAAATCGGAACATATCAAATGCAAGCAACCTCTATGTTATCAGCTGACAAAATAAATACTTGATTATTTGTTAAGCGAAATACAGTCTAGACTATAGTCATATAAATTTACAAATGGAAACCAGACAGTTGGATAATTGTATTGATGTTTTGTTGCTGTCGTATTGATATTATATTACCCCTCCATAGATTAACCTGCTCACTAAATCACAATCGTCTCCACGGGCTGGCTGATTCCAAAGATATGTTGTGCCAGCATCAAATGTTCTTGGCTTATGAAATTCGCAAGCAAAGTGATCACATTCTCATTACAGCGGGCAATCTGCTGGCGCGTTATCGCTCTAAATTCATCGCGGGCTCCTTTATCCGCTCCACGGGTTCCAATTCTACGGCTTTGGGAACCGCCAGCTGCAGTTGTCGCAGTAGGTGTGCCACTGGAAATGGGCGAGCTGGTCAACTCAAAGTTATCCTCCTGCTGGGAGTTCCAAATGTGCGAGAGTTCCTCAATTAAATCGATATTTATTATGTAGGTGGATAGGGTGCGCAGATTGAACGATTTGCGTTGCTTGATCAAGTTAAATATCTGTTGAGTGAGCAGAACATCGTTGAGCAGATTCAGTTGCTGCAGCACTAGGAGATCGCCCAGTAATCGGTCTGGACAGTTCGGTTCGTACACCTTGCAACTCAGTCTGCTGATGATGGCTCCCACGCAATACTGAACCAACGCTGAGCGAGTGAGGGGCAGAAAAACCATGTGCCTGTGACCCTTCAGCGACATATTTTCCAAAAGTTGGCCCTGGGTGGCGGGAAGTTCTGAGAGGATCTTCAAAATACACTGGAAGCCTTGAAGCTGTGTGAGAGATTCTTTAAAGTTTATGCATTTGAATAAATAGACCCTTAACTTACCGTCATGCTCCCCTGCATTAGGTTAAGGCTCAAGATCTGCAGGCTCTGCACCAGGCTGCTCTGGGTGGTCATGTCCGCCATAAGCTTGTTTGCCTCATCCCGGTGTCCGAAATATATGGCCAGGTCGAAGAGGAACCTTGAGATCCAAGGTGCCAAGGGAAGAGCGAGCATGAGTTGACTGAAATCCCTTTGAAACTGATCCGTATTGAGCAATTGCCAGCACTGGGCTGCATGCAAGAAGGCCTTGGATAACTCCGGACTTATGGCCGTGGTCAGGGAGAATTTTGGTGGCTCCATGCTGGGTACTTCGGAGACATCACCTTCCGGGGACCATTCCATGAATCCCTCTACCAAAACATGACTTACATCTGCATCCTCGATCCTTAGCTTGCAATTTCGTATATAGCCATGCAGGGAGTAAATAAACAAGGTGGTGGCGTAGAACAAAACCTGAGAGCTGCCGGCAGGACTTCCGGAAAGTATGTCCACCAGCTTTTCCCAGTACACGTTCTGGTTGACATGTTTGCTGAAGGGCAAAAAGGGCTCCCAGCCCATCATCTGACCGCAGATCATTAGGACTTTGAAGATGTTCTTCCAGGCATCCGCCGTATCCGATTCATCCATGATTTGCCGTAGATAAAACTCCAAGGAACTGGTATATAGTCTGCAGGCCAGATTTGGCGAAAGTTCCGGGGGTTTATTCTGGATCATGGGCAAAACCTCCTTCACCAGAATTCTCTGATAGAGATCCGGTTTGGTTTTCATGCCCTCAGCCAGCATTTCCAATAGTCGTGGAGCCTGAGTTATGGCCGATTTGGGAAACTTGTTGAACATCAGTATATAGATATAGACGCGCTCCAGATTATCGGCACTGTGGTTGATCGTGTGCATGAATATGTTGTGCTGAACCTCTGGAGTTAGGTGCTTATACATTTTCACATAGAACTCATGTTCCGGCGTAGTTTCGTTCTCATTTCTGAGGGCATTTGTTAGGGAGTTGATCTCCTGCCACAGCTCCGTATGTTGATTCGGGAAATTGGAGGCCCTAGAAGAGGAAAACATATCGTTACTGAATAGGTATGTTGTTAACTACTCACATAACGCTGAAACACTTTGCTGCCTCCTCATAATTTTTACCATCGCGTTCCAGAAGGTAAGCCTCGTATTGCAGATTGAATGCATTGGGATAAAGTGTTTTAGCCGTGATAATCCAGGCCATGGCCGCGCAAGGATCGCTTTTTCGGAGTCTTTGCGCCTCCTTGACCATGTACAACTCATTTTCCTCGTGGCTCGACATCTTTTCTCAGGTATTTCTTTTATTTTTAAAATGTTTCTTCAAGTTTCAACAAAAACAAACCATTTAGCCGGCTATTTGAAAGCCATTTGCCAACACTGGCCATATATTGCAATTAGTGCTGACAACTATTGGAGCTGAAATCTAGCCAATGCTTTACATATTTTAGAAATACTTTTGTCTAGCATCAAATTTTTTTAGTTAGTTTTAGGTTAGTGGTGTTGTCTTATTCTAACCCAAAACACATTTTATTTTCTGCTTTCTATGTTTGATATTTGGGTATTTTAGTTTTTAGCTGGAAAATAGCTAGAAAAAAATAGATATAAAAATGGCCTCCGGCTCATCTGCAATCGATAAGTGTCGTGTAGCACCGGCGGCAGTGTTGCAAAGCGGCTGCCTGCCAGCTGATTGTTCGCTAAATGAACAATTGTTTTTCGCGAATTTTTGTATATTTCTGTGATTTCTGCGCACACAAATTCAAAAGCTATATAAAGCAAAATACATACAAACCGGCAGTTCCGTCGTCTTGTGTAATATGTGTGACTAAACCAGTTTTCTAAAAAATATCTGCCAACGCGTCGTTTTGCTTAGTTTTTTTGTTGCGTGAATAAAATACAACGTTGGATATTTAGAAATTCGCCAATTCTTGTAAATAGGATATATGTATATAATTCAAGTGCCACAACCAACGAAGTAAGATTAAATTGTGATTTCCCCCATTCGTTTGCTGGGCCCACTTCAAACCACTATAAATTTGAGTCCACAAAACGCAGTATGCCCCATTATCTGATTGTCATATGGAAAACAGACAATGACAGTCGACTTAATAAATTAAAACAAAGCGTTTCGCACAAAATTCGTACGTAAATAACTGAAATGTCAGACGCTAAATCCGAAATTGAGGGCATTATAGCCGGTCCCACGACATCTGGCGACCAACAACAACAACGGCAGCAGGAAAATGAGCAACAAGTGGTCGCCACGAAGGACATTAAAGCTTCGGAACAGAGTAAGTAATGCAACAAAAAAAGGAATTTCTGTAAAATATTTCTAGAAACATACATAGTATCTTCAGTTAAGACCCTCATTAAGTAATTGATAAATGGCCTGCTGCTCCCATTTCCCCTTTGTAATCTACACTATTTAATAATGACTTAGCACTTATCACAAGCTGGTTACCGATCAGCAAATAAAAAACAAACAAAAAAATAAGCAAAAGGTAAATAGAAACTAAACTTTAAATTATATGCAAATAACAATCGTTCATTTGTATCTTACAGTATTGTTTATTGTAAAATAATCTTAGAATGCTGTCGATATCGTATTTATTTATTTTTAGTTGAGAGCATCACTGATTTTTAGAAGCTATTCCTATTCCACACTAGACATCATTATTTTATACACATCACTTAACAATAGATAGCCATAAATCATAAAAAAAACAGAACCAAGACAAAAAACACTAGTTCATGCATTATGCTAATATGCTCATCTCTTAAATATTTTCTAACAAATTTACTGGAACCTGATTCGATTTTTAGTTTATAGAGCATCCACGAATTACGTATATTTACTTACTCCCCATACATTGTATTATTTTGTATTCTTTGTTAACGTATAAAGTTCCTTACACTTTTATCACAAGATCGGCGACACTTTTCGATGAATCATGAGTGTACCATAAATTCGAAAAACCTGTTTTATTATTTTGTAAATTGCTTCAAAAATTTCACGTTCAAACCGCAAAGAAAATAAATTGGAAATTATATTAATTTGTATTTGTTCAGTCCTAGATTGAACTATCTTTTTAAACTAGTGCCCTGATAAATCTTCTAAAGGGTATTTTTTATTATAAGTTATTTATTTTTGTGACATTCTTCGTGATTTTTATTTGAATGCAAGTGTGTATTTATTATGAAGTTCTATATCAGTCTAAAAGTAATCGCGAGTTTTGAGTTTACTTATGTGTTATATATATTTTGTAGTGTTATAATGTATTGTATATAACCACCAGTTGTTGCATCCCAAATCCACACATAGCAGGTTAGTTGCTGCAATTTTAAAAATTCTCCAAGCCACAAGCACACACAATTTCACTAATCCTTGAGATTCTCTTTAAAGTTAAATATTAATGAAACTCGTTGCAGCGGCGAAAAGGCAGCGACCGCGTTTGATACAAGAGAAGAGCACCCAGGAGCCGGATCCTTTGATCCTGGAGCATGCCACTCTGGTATCGGTGCCGCAGCATATGGAGAAGCTACTGAATCAGTATCAGGAGAACCGGAAAATGCCGGCTGCTGAGTGGCTTCATTTGCTGACTTACCTGGTGGCCCTGGAGTGCGGATTTGTCGAGGAGGAGACATTTGCCCAGAAGAGACACCTCATTGAGCCCGTTCCATCATTCAGCAGCTTCCATGCCTTGAATGTGCGACTCCTGAGCGAACAGCCTGCTAACTATGAGGTGTGCTTCAATGACACCGCGTACCAAATGCGTCTGCGTACCCTGCTGGATAAGCATGCACCCGAGGAGACCTCCCTAGTGGCTGCCCTCCAGTCCCGTCTGATGGCCATCACCCTGGGGGACCAGCTTATGGTCACCCTGTCCCCAGCACCTCCTTCGAAGCAGCCTGGCTACAGCATCTGCCTGCCCATCGGACGCTATGTCCTGAATATTCAGGCGAAGAACAAGCCCATTTATCATCGCTTTCGGAAGCTGGATGAGCTGTCCTACCAGCTCAAGCAGCATGTGTTCCAGCCCATGCGATCGCAGCAGCTAATGCAGATGGAGAAGAAGCTGCAGCCATCGCTCTTGGGCCTCCCGGACGAATTGTACTTCGAGATCTTCAGATATCTGGACAGAAGCCAGCTGAATGTGGTAGCCAAGGTCAATAGACAGCTCCATTTCTACAGCAAGGAAATGGAACGAAAAAGGCTGAAGGGGGGCAGAAGCTGAGGTCATTTTGTAAAATGTATTAAGTAATGGTTTTGGCTTGTAATAAATGTCAAGTGGTGCATAAAGATTCTCGTAAAAGTCGGTAGTAATTTGTGTTTACGCAAATGCTTTGATTTATTAAGTAAAAACCCACATAGGGCTTACCTTAGCGATTGGAAGTATTGCATGGTATTGAATACAATGAAATTCTTATTCTCATTTGATATTAAGAAATGTTTTCAATTTTAAGATGGATTGTTACAATAAATTATCTTTCCAACATAAGCGAAATGGTACGTGTTTAATTTGGTGGTAGAAGTGGACTTTAAATTGAAAATGTAAATTCGAAATATGCCGGCTTACAAAACAAGAGGGTACTATTTATTTAATTGAATTAAGTTTTATGTAAAATCAGGGAATTGTGTTTTAAATTATTTAAACTCCTTACCTGTTTACTTTTATTTTCTTCTTCGTTGTTAATAAGCACCATACCTTAGTTTGAAATCATACTTAGCACATTTATCCTTATCGCATGCATTTTTGGTTTCTTTCTGTATTTAATCTACCATCATCAGCAGCAAGGATAATTGTGGAGCCGCCGACGCCCTCGGCTGATTCCTGCAACTCCTTCGATATATTTGAGCCACCTGCCACGCCTCTGGATTCCATAAGCATCAAGAGCAGTGCCAGTAGTTACCTCTACGATCGTGATATTACAGGTGAGTTGCGTCCAAGTGTCGTCGCCACCTGTTCGTCGGCATTTCACCCCCCTTTTTTGCCGAAAAGAGGGGTACACGCCCCTAAACGAGTCGGCCCTCAACCACAGAAGTGCAGAATGCGAAACAAGCGGCTCCAGCAGCCAAAAACACGCGCCGAGATTGTCGCATCCACAATTCCCAGTGCCCCCAAAAGCCCCAAGCCCCAATCCCCAATCCCCGTACACGTCGGCTTCGAATCTCCAACCTCACAAGCCCACTTCGATTTTTTATGCGCACGCAAAATCAACAAAACCCACGCGAGCAAAACGGCACCCCTATAACCCCTATGTGTGCTACATCTTTATACACTGAGGGAAACCCATGAAAAACGGAAGTCATTTGTAAGGCTTCACACATTTTTATAATTTTAAATTCATTTGAAACTCAAAAGCTCTTGAGAGTATTGGAGTAAGGAAACGTAACCTTGCCATGCTTCTCCCAAACGTTTCTCTAAGTGTACACCCCTCGGCCTCCTCGCCTTTTCGGTTTCCCTGGCGGATGGCATCCACAATTTGGTTTTTCTCCCTCAACAGCGGGATGCCTGCTGCTCGGTGCTGGGCTCCTATTTCGTGTTTATATTACGATATCGACTTTCTCGAGCCGAGCCTTATCACTAAAATAAAATGAAATAAAACCAAAAATGCTGAGAGTGAGTTGAGTGCAGCCTTGGAAAGCCTAGGTTTTCGGGTTCCCGTGGGTCCTGTCGAAATTATCTGGCTACAACTTTATCAAAATAACGAAAAACAGTGACAAATGCATAAATAATTTATGGCAAAGGCAAACAAAGCAAAACATATTCCGCTGGGCTGGTGCTCTCGCAATTATTTTTAAACCAGAGTCGTGTCTCCTGAAAAGCTCCGGAAAAACGAGAGAAGCTTTCCATCGAGCTGCTCTTGATGAGTTACTCTGCATTTTCCAGGAGCAGCTGTTTTCCCCAGCCACGTCCCCCCACTTTTGTCCGCCCACAATCCGGTCGAATGGTTGGGTGAATGAACCCACAGATGTGGGTTTAACACAGTGGTCAAAAGTAACTAAAAGAGAGAATGCTATAGTCGAGTTCCTCGACTATCAGATACCTGTTGGTTAGCTAGTGGAAGTGCGAATGAGAAATTTGAAAAAGTTTTTTGGCAAATCAATAAACTAATACAAAAATTAAAAAATATCAAAACATTTTTCAAAAGAGTGGCAGTTTTGGGCCGTTTGTGGGCTTTAAAATGGGCGTGGCAAATCTAGCTCTTATAGTTCCTGAGATCTCGACGTTCATACGAACGGACAATCGGTCGGACAGACCTGTTTGCTCTGGGTTTCTGCTA